TTCCCCACACTCACGATGCTCAACCAAGCTGCCAGGGGTGCCTCGGGATCCTTTCAAGGGTGCCGCACAACATCAGCACGGTTGCTGTGCAAGAGAAACCCAGGGATAGACTGCTCTAACTTGGATCTGAGCCTGATTTGCACCAAATGAACGTTTCTAGCCAGGGGACCTTACAACATCTTCAGCTCTCCTGTGAAATATGAATATTCATTTCCACCTAGGAGAAATTTTATAATCTTGGCATTTGATGTCTGAAGAAAGGTGCATGTGCCCGAAAGCTTGCAAATATATATATATATATATATATTCATATACACACACACACAAATATACACACACACTAAGTGTAAATTCCTTGGAAAAGCGATCATCTTTTTCTCTTATGTTTGTTCAATGCCTAGTAGTGGTCACTACCACAACACAACTGGATACAAGCAGACTGTTTACACATTTTATCCAATGATTTTTTAATGTAAACTCAAAACCAGGACTTTCCCCTCTGAAGGGAGTGAACAAATCAGTGGATTATAGAATCATGATCCTTTTTTTTAAAATGTATTTTAGTTTGTTTTTTTTTACTTTCTCTGCCCCTCATTCTATCCATTTGCATTTCTTGCCACTCAGTAGCACAGCTTCAAGAAGGGAGGCAGAAAGTGCCTTTATCCAATCTATTCTATAGAGTCTAGATTTTAGGGCACTCCCTAGAGAGGTGGGAGACCCCTTCCATCTGAAGAGAGCCTAGAAATCAGGTCTCCCACATTTTAGGCAAGTATCTCTACCACTAGGTGGCTATATGAAAGTTGAGTGGCACCACTACTAGCCTTATTACAAAAGAAACAACTTAGGAACATAAGAAAGGCTCTCCTGCCTGTGAATCCTAGTCTTACATTGTTTAACTCAGAGCCATGGGTAACAATGCAAAGTATTTTCATGAATAAGTTTTTAGCGGATTTGGATCCAAGCACATTATATGTATTTAGTAAATTAATAATTATAAAACTAAGTTGTGGTTGAATCTCAAAAAAAATCCCATAATTAATCTAACTAGAATAAACATCATAAAATCAGAAACTGGGGCAAGGCAAAGCCATGTGCAGGCTATTCTAACTTACTCCAGCTTGTAACCACCTGCCACCATCCATTACTTTAATGGTAATCACTGGATCCCAATGTTATGACATGTCAATATTCCTCTATGAGAGAGTCCCAACTTGCTCCTTAGATGGGCTTTAAAAGTGGTCAAAAACAAAGACAGTGGGTGTGTCTACATGTGCATGAATGCATTTTTCCTAATACGCATTAAATGCATTACCTCCAATGTCAGGTACTAAATTAATGTGCATTAGGCTTCCCTAATGTGCAGTAGCACAAGCACATGCTTTTCAGGTGACACTTGATGTGCAGTAGCCTATTTTACTGTGCATTAGCATAATAGCACAGTTTTTTTTACACACTGCTTTAATATGCAGTAAAATAGGCTACTGTGCATTAAAGTACATGTGTAGACATACCCAGTGGAACCAAATATATAGCCCTTGGACTTAAAATGAGTTTGGAGAACTTTGTTGAAAAAAGAAATGGCCAGGAAAAAATTGGGCTAATATTTACTTTATACAAGATGTTGTCAATTACTGTGAGCTTTGAGTATACAGTTTCTGTCTGTCAGGAGTATTCTATGCCTTCAGAAAGTATTAAAGAGTTAATAAATATAATGGGTAAATGACTGAATACAGATGTCATCTTAACACTATTATATGTTGTAGGTTTTAGATATTTCTAGTCTGTAATCAGTTTTAGCAAACCAAATACATCCCTTAGTTCTGAAGGACACTGAAGCACATAATATAAAACAATTATACATAATAAAACCATTTTTATTGTTATTGCTGTGAGGCTGAGTCTGGTGGGAGGTGGGGGGCAGTGCTGAGGCAGTTGTGGAGTTTGGCTGCTGGGGGGAAAGTCAGGCTTCAGGAAAAAAAAACCTCTGTCCCCAATGCTGCGTAGACCCCATGGAGTGGGAGCTCTGTTCCTCTCTACCTTCCCCCCTTCCCAAAAGCTGAGAGTCCAGGTTTGGCAAAGGGACAGGCCTGAAGCAATTGCAGAGGTGGGGTTCAGGGGGGGAACCTCCATTGTTTGGCCCCTTCATGCTGTGCAGACCACAGATTGGGGGTCCTGGGACAGGGAAGGGGGCACTGTTCCCCCTATTGCTGCCTTCCGTCCATGTCTCACGCTGTCTGGGCTACTACCTGTGCAAAATGACACTCAGAGAAAAGAAAGAACCTATTTATTTTTTTACTTTAAGTAAGGCCTTGACTTTAATCTGCTTCCTTTCCTGGTCCCATTATTAATCTCCTTGAGTTAAACATTTTAAATTACAAGTGAAACCCATTGTCTACTACTCAAATTCGCATTTTTTATTCTCTGCACCTTTATGCAGAGTTGTTATATAGCGTATACATCTAGTGAGGATTATACATTTTAATTGTGAGTAATTAATTAATAGTATTCCCTTTGAAACACTCATTTGTAACTTCAGAAAATGTAAATGTGGCCTAAAGACTGCTTTTGACTGATTCCATTATTCATTACCATGTTATAGCCAATCTCCAAGTCAATACACAAACAAAATTTCCATT